ATCCATATTAGCAATACCTTTATTAGGCCAACCAAAATGTCACAGAACAGTCAATTAATCAGTCAATCATTTTATCTGTATGCCGCCTTTCCGAAGTTAACACCATGCTCAAGGCGGCTTTCAGCATGTAAAAAATTACATAACTACAAATGTAAGAAAAGTAGTCATAAAGAATAAAACATCAAAAAGTACACAACTGAATCGAACAGTTTCCACATAAATCATAAGATCCAAAATAAATATACAAAAAAATAACAACACCCACCGCAGCAACAACCTGCCTAAACAATACCCCAACCCAAGATTCGAGTTCCCCGGAAATCTTCACCAGGCTGGATGGCAAAAACAGACCCCGCAAGGGCAGCGGAGGCTGCTGTTCAAAGCATCCTTTTATAATCTGAGATTGCTTTAAAGATGGAGTGTGGGACCCGGAGGAGACATGCAGAAAAGAGTCTCTTTCAGGTGGCCTGCAAGTTTCAGGTCGCCCCCAGGCGTTCTGGGGAAGAAAAGCCAGGAAACGGCCACCCCCGATCTCTGCAACTACAACAGCCGCAGTTAAGAGAAGCGTTCCTGAACCTAAACCGCGGCTGTGGATTTGCCATTAGCTACTGGATGGGCTTAATTTCAGCCAGCATTCGTTCCCCAGCGCTGAGCCCCTGAAGTCTTGGAAGCACCTCCGTGCTTCTGACCATGGGCAGAGGGCTCCCCCGCCCCTTCTGAATCAATCTCAGGCAGCTTCTCCCCCGCGTTTAGACTCCCGACGGGTTTCCATCCAGGTCCGCGCGGAAGGGTGGGGACAAGTTAAGCGCAGCGACGGCTGGCGCCCATTGGGATTGGTAGGGCGGAAGGCAGGGAGACCACCAGCAGGGGGCGCCAGAGCCAACGGCAGGGGCGCCCCCCGATTCCAGGGTTGCCCCCGCGCTCCTCCCTGCTGCTCTCCACAGCCCGCTGCACTGGCTCCTCTAAGTCAGAAGGCAGCCAGCGGCGGCGGCGGCGGAGCCTGGCTGAGAGCAGACTGCGGCTGGCAGGGTCCCGCTGGCCCGAATGGCGTATTCTTCTTCCGCGAGCAACAGCTCGTCTGTCTGCCAGGCTTAAGCTCCCGGCAGCACCTCTTGCTGCGGAGAAACGAAGCCTGAGGAGGAGGAGCCGCAGATACCAGCAGCCGGAGTCGCCGTCGCGTCCCGCTCCCGCCCGGTCTGGAGCCTTTGGCTCCTGTGCCGTCGAGGAGCCTGAGGCGGGGAGGTGTTCGAAGGCGCCTCCTTCCCGCCTCCCGCCGGCGCGTCCTCATTGGCCGCCGCCCGCCGCCTCCCCCCCGTCGCCGTCGCGTCCTCAAACCCGCCGCCTTCTCTCGCTCTTTTGAGGCTGCCTGCGAGGAGGAGCCGGTGGCAGTGAGCGCCGGCGGCGGAGGCTTGGCGACCGAGGAGCCCTGAGGAGAAAGAAAGAGTCTGTGCGCGCGCGTCGTGTGAGGGAGCGAGCGAGCGAGCGACACAAGGCTTCCCGCTTCCCCTCCGCCGGGTCGCCTCGCGCCCTCCATTGTCTCTCTCCGCCGGGTTCCCTCCAACAGGTTCTGGGGCTGAGGCGCTTCTCGCGGCTTCCCGCTTTGGCGCCATTCCGCGCCCTTTTCGCGCCTCCGGGCGGCGGCGGCGGCTGAGGCGCCTCGGAGATGGTGCTGCGGGCTGGGGAGGACTCGAGTCGCGGCGCCGCCTCCTCCTCCTCCTTCGCCCGGTGGATTCTGGCTTTTTGCTGAGGGAGGGAAGAAGAAGAAGGACGCCGAGGGGCGTGTGTGTGGAAGAAGACTGGGGCGTTCGGCCGCTCGGCTTTCCTTCAGACCCGGCTTCTGCCTCGAGGACTATGGAGTGATTCTGGGCGCCGTCCTCCTCCTCCTCCTCGCGCGCGATGGAGTCCCCGGGCTGCTGCTGGAGCGCCCTGGGCTTCTTCCTCTTCTGCCTGAGCTCAGGTGAGACTCGAGCGGGGCGTTCCAGGCTCCAGCCTCTCCTTAAGGCATGGGGGGGGGGGGAGTCTCGGGGTGTGTCTCTCAACCTCCCCCTTCCCCACCCCGATGGGGAATCGGCTCAGTCTGGGGAGGTGGGGAAGAGGGAAGACGGAGGATCCGGGCAGGAAAACGATCCGAGAACTTTGCGAAAGGGATGCTGCGAAAGTAGGTCATGTAAATAGGACTGGCTGGTGCGGCTGAGCCGAGGAGGAGATACCTGCGCCTTCCAGAACGGGAGTGGCAGCAGGATCGGGGTGGGAGAAGAAGGAGGAGGGTTGGGGGGGGGGGAGGTGGAGAGGAAAAGTTAAGGGCGTCGGTAGTAATTTCTCTTTTCTTTTCCCCGCCTGGATCCAGCGGTCGGCTTTGGCGTGGACCCCTCGCTGCAGATCGACGTGCTGGGCGAGTTGCAGCTGGGGGAGTCGGTGGCCGGAGTGGTGCAAGTGCAAGGGCTGCACAACGGGAGCAAAGCTTTCTTCTTCCAAGGTATGGGACCTCCATCCATCCAGGGGTGCCAACTTGAATAAAATATTGGGTGGGGGAGGGAAGCGCCGCCCCACACAATCTATCGCAGGATATGGCACACACACACACACACACACACACACACTATTTGAATGGCAATTCCCATCAACTTTTTTGGGGGGGACAGGGCCCCCCTCCAATATTTTATTGTTGGCGGGAGGGACCCCAAAGGGAGCTCTGTCCCTAGGAGTTGGCTCCTATGCATGCATCCATCCTTCCTCATTCTCGCTTTGGCTCCGGGGCTGGCTCTGCGGGCAGGGTCAGCCCAGGCCACCTGAATAATTCCTGAACTTGCTGGCAAATGCGTTTGATCGAACTTTTTTGCATTAACCGGATGGCAGGCGATGCTCCTCTGGGCTCTCAATGCGACTTGGTCCATTTGCTGAGCGAGGCTCCTGCCTGCCTGCTCTGTTAAGCCTCGCTGATTCTCCCCCTCCCTCCTTCCACTTTTGTCTCTCTCCCGTCACTTTTCTGGCCCCTCTTTTGATGGATAGACCCTTAATTAATGGTCAGCAGGAAAGCTGATGGCAGATGGCTTATTTTGCCAGGCGTGGGGAGCCCTGAATAATAAACAGATTCGTCTGGGCTGGCTGAGATTGGTTTATTTGGGAAGACACGCCAGGCTAAGCTCTTGTTCTCGCTGATGGTTAGAGGAGAAGATAAGACTAGGGAGAAAATATGAAACTAAGAGTGTGAATAAGTGGGGAATGGGGATAACATACTGCATTTTTCCCCATAAAAAATGTCTGCAGGAAAAATATAGAAGCCCTTGCAAAAAGATTTGTTAACAGGTTATATACCCTTTATCCTTGTTAAATTTTGAACTTTTTTTGGGGTGGGTGGGAATTCTTTGTGTACATAATGGGTGGTATAGTCATACTCAGAGTAAACCTATTGAACGTAAGTAACAAATCCATGACTTTCATGAGTCCGTTCTGAGTATGACTTAGTTAGCTAATCACCCACTGATTTTAAGGATTTTTAATAAATCTGAATGTTCCTTCCAAGAATAAGGAGACAGCTGTCTTTTGATTCATTTTTGCATTAATATATTCAAAGACACTTCTAATGTAGGATTCCAAAAAGCAGCATTTATTTCGTGCAGTTTATAGTCTATTGTATAAAGGTAAAATATTCTGAGATAAATGCTTTTCCCCATCCCTTGTAAGTGAAAAAGATTACATACAGAATTAGATTTTTAAATCACAGTGCAGAACATTTCTGAAGCTTATCAGACTGTTCATTTAAAAGAGGGCTGATATCATAGTGGCGTTGGGAAGGAAATGGAACAATGTTGTATGTGCGTGCTGAATGTTGCTATGTAAAGTTGGAGAACATGGTTCACACGGTGAATTAGGAAGAATTTTAATTTGCTTCTATATAGCCCATAGTCTATGTGTATCATTTGTTTTCTTAGGAGTTCCAGTTATAGGGTTTTTTTAAATTTTCTTTTAGTACAAGAGGCAAAGGGAGGCCTTGCAAAGAAGCTGTAATTTAAGGAAAAATCCAGGCAATGATGTTGGCTTGAACTTCTGAATCAATAAGATCATGTATCAAAAGCTGACTACCTAAGTCACTGGAGGACTCTGTGGAAGGATGTTATTCTACATTCAACCAGAGTGTGTCACTGTGACCATTAACACAGAAAAGTCAGAGCATACACTTTTAAAAAGAGAAATTGACACCTGCTATTTTTAAACAGAAAAAGCCTTCTTTCAACAGGATGTAGACATCTACATGAAAGGGCTCTTGACAGTATAAAAATCTAAAATTCCAATTTTGAGGCTAGTAATATGAACATTTCAGGACTGCACATACAGTGGTACCTCGGTTTAAGAACAGCCCTGTTTACGAACTATTCAATTTAAGAACTCCGCAAAACCAGAAGTAGTGTCCCGGTTTGCAAACTTTACCTCGGTCTAAGAACGGAAGCCGAACTGTGTAAGGGCACCAGTGACTGGAGGCCTCATTAGGGAAAGCGCGCCTCAGTTTAAGAACGGACTTCCAGAACGGATTAAGTTTGTAAACCACTGTATCACTGTGTGCATTTAAAAAACAAAACAAAGGCAATTCCAGCAAAGAGAATTTTAAAGTTTGGACATTTCTATTTCTCCTATTTTTGCTGAGACTGAAGACTTAGCCTGCATTTCTCTTTTAATTTTCAGAAAAAAATGGATGCTCAGCATTCATTTTTTCTTTATACACCTGTAATTGCAGATGCGTTTTAGCTTTCCTAAATTTGCTATGCATCTTGTAAAGTGATATAATTTATAATTTCTTCTCCTTGGAAGAGAGCCAAGCAAGTACAGCAATTCAAAGACTTTACTTTCATTCTGATTCTTGTTGTTGTCTCTTTCTCTTACCATTCTCTCCCCCCCCCCCCGGGAGTTGCGAAGAGGCAGCTTCCCCAGAATTTGTAGAGTTGGAAGGGCTCCCAAGGGCCATCTAGTCCAGCCCCCTGCAATGCAGGAATCCTGCCTGCAACTATCCCTGGGTGGGCTTAAACCACCAACCTTCTGGTTAACAGCCAGATGTGCTGACCCATTGTCCCACTGGAGACATTAAGTTTATCTAGTCAGGGATGCCATCAAGGTTATATTGCTTGAAAGATGTGGCATACTAAAATTAAATAAAAGTAATTTATATAAATTGGGAAAATCTCAACCAGTACCGCTGGCCTTATGCAATTATTTACCCATACAAATCTCCCCAGTCTCTATTTTCTTGGCTTCGCCCAATGAACCCAAAGTGCTAACAACTCGGGTGCTTTTCACCTAACTGGCATGCATAAAAACTGTTTGCTCATGGTGCAATATAGTCCACTATGTATTTATGAACCATGTGGACAGAGTTGACTGGATGGATCTTTCTCATCTCATTGGCCCCCAATGAGACGGAGCATGCAGATTGCATGGGCCTCTTCCACCAAACTTTCCATCTATGTTGTTGTAATAGTTGCACAAGCTTGTGTGTGAGTATGAATGAATGAAGGGGGTGGGGACACAGTTCCCGCAAATGAATATTTACAAGGATAATGTAAAGTGGGAATGAATAACTATAGAGATCACATTGGTCACATGTACATCTATTTCAGCTATGGAAATATATGTGTCTTAGGCTGTAAACTTGCCATTGAGACATCTCATGGATGTTTTTAAGACTACTCTGGAGTACATTGGCTGAAGCACTAATTTTTCTCAAGCTACAGCATACGGTAGTGAACCTTCTGCCTCTGAAACTTAGATTTTGCATTAAGATGTTTGCTGGAACACTGAATATTAATAAGAGAGTACTAGTTTGCTGTGAGGTATAGAAAACAAGATGTCCTTGACCTCATAAGCTGATGCACCTTTTCATGGACTTCTTTTTGATTGAGTTAATGAAAGTTTAAGATAAATATCAACAAAACCATGTCATAATAGATATAAAATGAAAACAATGATATAGAAATGAAACATATAGATTGATACCTGACTGAAATGACCTCAAAGAAGCTTCTCTGACTTTGTGAATTTTGCAGAGTGGGTTCTCCTGGGCATTTGTTGAATGGAATGGAATAAAACAGCCAAACAATCAGAAAACATACATAAATAAGCTTCAATATCTTTTATGATTGGTTAATTCTATTACTATGATTCAATGATGCATTTTACCATGTTTGTTTGCAAAACAAGTCAACGTAGGTAAAAAAATAAAGGCAAGTTATATGAACACCGGTCATTAACTGCAAAAATCCATATTTTGTTAAATAATCCACCCTCTGTTATAATTATTTCTGGGATGAGTCATAGAAAACATATTGACTAAAAAGGAAATGGACAAAACGCAACACTGTACCATTAGAATTAATGAATACAGCTGTCTACTGACTTTATTTTACAGTGCTTGACATATTGAGGACAATTAATTACGTATTTGATAACTTTAATGCATACTGACCAGCTGAATGAGAGCTGGTGCTCAGTGTTAGAAGATGGGAGACATTCAGAAAAGATGTTCCTTTTTTGTTAGAACAGTTGGCATGTATGTATATAAAGTATGCTCAGTTATTTCAGCAAGCAAATGCATGCACACACCCCACCAAGCACCAACAGATGGGGTGGAATTATATGGTGGGTTGTGATAAAGCACACCATGGAACAGAACATCAAAGAGCAGATTTAATCTGTCAGCATGATGCATGAAGGAACTTCACAGTTAGTGGCTCCTCAATGGTTCTTTCTGCTGTCAGAAAACAAAACTAAAACAGGTCAATTTGTACTGTGGTATAGCAATACTATGTAGCTATGTTTAAAACTTGTTATTGTTATGGGGTTACAGTTTTCATGCTAACTTTATTTCTGTCTACATTTTTGGAAACAATGTTTGATGTGACTCAATCATAGCTGATTTTCTCAGGGTGCAAGGCAAACGAAGCAAACTGTTGCTGGTGTAGGGAACTTTGAAAAAGTAGACTTTTTTCAGAATTTGGCTTGAAGACATGGGGGAGAGAGATCTTTTGGCTTTTCATGAGTGTAAGATGAAAGTATGAATGGACTGGAAGCATCCTGCTTTGTCTATAAGCATATAAGCTATTTCTTTAAGAGATTCTCACTCGGTCCATTCAGGACCTGAGAGATGGAGACTTTTCCTAGCTGATATATGTTAAAAACATAGCATGCCCATTGCATAATGCCTTTCTACAAAGTAACAAAAAACAAGCAGAACTAGTATATGGATTTAAAAGGCATCTTCTGCTGCAGAATGAATAAAGCTGAGATACTTTCCATTCTCTACGCACATCATGCCGCTTCTTATAGCAGAGGGTGGGGTGGGGAGGTCCCCTTTTAGCCCAAGGGCTACTTTCTTTCATGAGCAACCTTCTGGGGACTACATGCCCTTGGTTAGCAGAACCAATGGCCAAAAGAAAAGACAAGACTGACTCTTTACTTTGTACAGCAGGCTACATCCTAGCCATGCAAAACCAGAGATTTCCAATACACACTTACTTCTCCATCTAGGCAAGCAGGAATATTACAGTTCATGGACACATTCTAACCAGGTATAATAACTCAAGGAGGGTGTGGAATTTTAGGCTGTGTGCATGTTACTCATATACTCCATCTCCAGTGCATTCCCACGACTGGTGTCTAAAGCTGTGCACTTATGAAGCTGGCCACAATCCATATCTATCATTGAGAAATACTGTTGTTTGATGCATTTCCCCCTCAAACTAGTTGTAATTATTATTATTATTATTATTATTATTATTACACCCTCTCCATCTGACTGGTTGCCCTAGCCTAGCCACTCTGGGTGGCTTCCAACAAATATAAAAACATAATAAAAACACCAAACATTAAAAACTTTCCTATACAGGGCTGCCTTCAGATGTCTTCTGAAAGTTGTATAGTTATTCATCTCCTTGACATCTGATGGGAGGGTGTTCCACAGGATGGGTGCCACTACTGAGAAGGCCCTCTGCCTGGTTCCCTGTAACTTCACTTCTTGCTGTGAGGGAACTGCCAGAAGGCCCTCGTAGCTGGACCACAGTGTCTGGGCTGAACGATGGGGGTGGAGATGCTGCTCCAGCTGTACAGGGCCGTTCCTTGTGATTTGAAACTGTAAAGCATATTTGCTTTACTGCTAAGCTGAGGCTTGTGCATTTGAGACAGATGCCAGCTTTATGAATAGGAGTGTGTGTGGGGGGATTGCAGGTGCAGAGAAACTAAACAGGAATGAATGTGCATCAGGTGAAGACATCCACACCTCGACTTGTCTCATGGGTGAGCCAGCCCTGCCCAAAATAGAATGGAGTCAAACCACATAAACTATTCTACCCAGTGCTTCATTTATGAGAGAGGGGGAAATGCTGAAGTTCTTGTCCAAATGGAATTATGTCCCTCTGGTCCGGAAACCTTGGTTGCTTGAAGTAACCTAAGATATTGCAAAGTTGTCAATATGATCCCCTGGGCCTTCAGCTTGAAGGGCTCTAAATAATTAGCAGTTATTGCTTGTATGGTAGCTTACAAAACATGAAGCCAACTTAACACCTTAGGGTTGTATCAACTAAGTCTTGTATAGTGTAGGCCCACTGAAATAAATTGGCATGACTAACTTAAGTTCATAGATTCTAGTGGGTCTGTTCTGTGTATGACTTAGCTAGAGACAACAACATTTAGCTATGCTTTCAGATATGCAGGAGCACGTTTCCATGTTTGCCTTTGCAGATATTCTATTAGAAGGCAAGAGATAGACTAGATTTGAAAATAATGTAGGGATCCTGCATTATAACCCAAGTTAAAAATCTTTGTCCTTGATTTTGTTTTCCTTCACTGGTTTTGCTACAGTTTCTTGCTTTGAATAATTATAGTATGTTAAGCAATGATTGAGGTGGGTTTTGTATCAATTCTTTATCTGAGCTGGAGAGGGTGGAAGCTTAAAAAAGACTGTTTAAGTAGCAAGTGCTGCTCAAAATGCCCTTTAATCCTTGCAAGAGTGTATGTTAAGAAAGTACCCTTAGTTAAAGCAATTTTAATAGTTTTTTTAAAAGCAAATTGCTGATACACATTGTTTCTCTGGTTTTGAGGATGATGCTAATTAATAAAATAGGTTACAGAAAAATGCTAACTAGGTAATGTGCTAAATAATAGGGATCAAGTGTGTGTGTGTGTGTGTGTGTGCATGCGCGTGTGCATGCATGCATGCTGAGAATGAGTGTAGGCCTTGTTTTTAGTAATTGTATTATGCATTTGAAACACTAGTTATAACCCTGCTGAAATTGCTGTGTAGTGAAGAAATAGTTTAAATAAAATCGACAATAATAATATGTTTAAATAGACTTATTCATGGGAAGAGATGGAACTCTGCTTATGGGTGTGATGAAAAAGCTTGTCACAGTTAGATAAATGGGGGGCTTTCAAAGAGCATGAACACATATGCAGTTAACTTATCAGCCACAGACAGGCACAGATGGTAGTTCATGAAATGCTCCCTGGTCAGAATATAATAGGACAATAGATGCAGAAATGCAAAATAGTTTACAGTTGAAGAAAAAAATAATCTATTTTACAAACAATGCATGTAGACCATAGTTCAGCTAAACTTAATTTACATTTATCAAGGAATAAGCCCTACTGAGCATAATGAGACTTACTGTTGGATAAACATACATAGAGCTGCACTGCACACCACACTGAAACCAATGAAGCAAGTTATTTGTGACTAACCTAATATTTTTCTATTCATATAAAGCCAGTCCAATTAATTTCAGTTGTGCTTACTGCTGGAGAAGGGGGCAAAGGACTGCAGCCTGAGCCTATGCATGCTTGCTCCTCAGGAAGCATGCAAAGTCCCACAGTCTTCAATGGAACTTACACTGCAATCTTGTGCACAATGACTTGAGAGTAGGTTGCAGCTAACTTTAGGGCCAGATCAGGGCCCTAAAACTTAAATACTGCAATAAGGGATATATGAAGTTAAGCAGGCTCCTTTGGAGCCCATCTGATAGTATTTTATATTAAAGTGGTGGGATATCCCTTTGATATTCTAAGCTAGCTCCCTACACAGTCAACATCCATGATGCTATTAAAAAACATGGCTAAATTCTATATGATTTTCATTATATCCATTGGTGTGTGTGTGTGTGTGTGTGTGTGTGTGTAAGATACACACAGCGACGCACACACACACACATATACAGTGTGTCGAGAATGCAAAGGTATAAAACCTCCATTTTGGGCTAGAACTGGGTACAACTGGCTTCTTGAAATTATCCACCCTATTTGTGAGCAGATAAATTGGACAGTGTGGGGAGAACCATGTGGTGGGGTAATTCTGCAGAGTGAGAAAGCCATGTAATGAGGTAACAGCTGTTTTGGATCCACTGGATATAAAGCCCGGTGGCTCCTTTAAGAGAGTAGCGCAGGTTTCTCTGTTATGCCAACTTGGAGCTGGCATGACAAAATAACAAATCCACCCCAGCTTCCACGCTTGCTGACATGAGCTGGCAGGGTTTTGGATATAGCTCTGCTACTGCAGTGCCCCACCTCTGGAATGACCTGTCAGTCTATAATCCTTCACACATATTCCGTACTTGGCATTGTAACTCACCCTATGACATTCAGGTGAAGGGTGGGGATATAAAGGTTGGAAATAAGTAAACAAACTCCATCAAGCACAGTGTGTTTTCAGTAGATGTGTTCTGTTAACCATTTGTAAACACAGTCTGATTTGTAGTCTAACAGCTCCACCCTAAACATGTTTATGAAGAAGTAAGTTCTATTTATTTCAGTTGGACCTGCTTCAAGTGAGCATGCTAGGGACTGAAGACCCAAGTTTTAGGCTTCAAGGCAAAAATGTGACAAGATTTAAAATGGTGCTTGACAGTCTTCTAATTGAAAATTTCTTTTTTGCTTAGCATGGTATGCGTTTTCCATTGGCTTGTGAATTGAATATTTAGGGAAATATGAAAAAAGTGAAGTCTGCATTGAAAGCTGTGACAGTTGTGCTTTTTGTGACAATGCTGTGATACCTAAAAAGAGCATGATAGAAAAATGCTGATTTAACACACATTTAAGTCAGTGAGAATATAGTAGGCTGCAGTGGCTGTAGGAGTGCATGCAATTACAGTCAATCTCCATAAACCAAATATACTTTTGTTGGAATACGATGTGATTAGACAACAGTGGCTCTGGAGGGTACTTTATGAGGGTACTATTCAGAACAAACTGCAATCAAGTACATCTATAGGATCCTTGACAACACAGGATTGTTATAAAAGATATATTCATCTTTAGAGAGATTCAGCACCTATGGTATAAGTCCTCACTCAAATTGGCTTAGATTTCTAAGGTTTAACTAAATGGGCTGAGGCTACTGATATTCAGCCTACTTCCCTGTGTTAGGTCTGATCAGTGGTAACCTGGAGGAACCAAAAATTTCAGATAAACTCTGTAGGGGTTATAGATAAGTGGTCTTCAGATTTTCAGACACCGGCTCCACCTTTAACTATAGCCTTTGATACAAGAACCAGTTTTAACTGGTTTAGGACTCTGTGCAAGAACCTAGCAGCAGATGCTACTTTAGATATCAGGTTCATGGCTTCTTTGCATCCCTAGCATTTTACAAAAGAAAAAAGACCCAAACTTTTGAAGAATGGTGGCAGCACTGAAGGGTGGCCCACCATAGGTTAGTTTGTGTGTTCCATTTATGTGACGTGACCCAGCAGCTGAAGACCACTTTTGTTTTTTCATTCCGAGAAGCACAATTTGTCTTGCCATAACGCTGCAGGGTAAGAAGGGCTGTATTCACCAAAGGAGCCCCATCCTCTATTGCATTTTGTCATCCTTTGTCTCTTATGCCCTGCCACAATCTGGTGTCTCTTGTACTAATCTGAATGAAAATGTGTGATTAAAAATAGATTTGTGCTTTTGCAGAATCACAGTACTGATGTCTGTCTTTGTAATAAATGTGCTTATGTTCTCATCATGGCCATTGTCAGAGGAGAAGCACGTTGTTGCCTTGGAGAACGTACTTAGAGAGATTCTGACTGTTTGATTGGCTTTTTCTTCTATCACATTTATTAAAAAAGTAGCCTAGTGTGGAAATAGCATTGTAAATAATGAAAGTGAATATCATTGCCAGATATGTATTCTTCTTTCCGGATGTTCTGCAGAACTAAGTCCTCTTCCCAGCCAATCTAGTGAAATCATTAATTTATTGCTGCATCATGATTCTGACACTTCTGGAATGCTTGCAGAGATTAAAGCTCCTTTATCAACATTCCCAAGACTGTGATGTCTAAAGACCTCAGCTGTTCACAAGTGGCTGAAATTAAATTCTGACTGTTCAACAAATCTACACTTAAAAATTGATTTATAGCTGAAACAGTTAGAAGCTGATTATATGAATACATACTCCAATTTGGTTGAGGAAGTTTTGTCAAAAAGCCTTTTTTGGGGGTGCGGGGTACAAAGTATATGATCCGAGGTATGCTTATTTCCATTGAATGAAGTTTAGAATGAAGTAGCTTATTGTAGAACAAGGATGCTAATATAGTATTTTCTTAATAAAACGACTTGAAGATTTCACTGCCTGAGATTTTAAGCATGGCCAGTGCCACTGAAAAAAGTTTCTATAGAATTAATTTCCATATGCCTGTTTAGGAATAGGGCATCAGCACAATATTCTCACAGTACTTTTCACAGCTTGCTTGCACCAAGCCTTGGTAATAAATTTAATGCCATTATCACCTTTATCAAAGCATGTTGTAAATATGAAATGTGTAAATGAAACATCATGTAAGAAAGGGAAGTTTGGAGTCTTTCTTTATTACCTTGGGGGCCACATTGCCATATTGCTTGGAGTCTAATAGGATTCAAAAAACATCTGGAAGGCTGTAGGCAGGTGTAATGTTAAGTGTATACATGCTTCTTATACAAACCATATGTTGAGCCTTTGTATTGAAGATACTCTTGTGGCAATTTGGTTTGACTGAGACGGTCAAGGAAGCTACTGTATGCCTCAGGAAGCAGTATTTCATATCTGTAGAAGCGTAGGAGCAAGTTGTGGTTATTCACTTGTCAGGTTATACAAAGGACAGTTCATTTAAGAAGCATATTGTTTTCCAGAACTCCGCCCTGGTAAACCCCGGTTTTGCTTAAGCAACAGTTGTGCAGCATAGCCTCTTTCTCTTAGTTAAGTGGCCAAATGTAGCATGGAAAATGAGGAGATGACATCTTATTACTTGCATTCTCTCTGCTCTTCTGCAGCAGCAACTTCCTCCTTAAGTTCAATTCCACAGGCCACTAGAGGACTCTCTGTAGTATATTTTGCTGGGCTCAGCAAGAACAGTGGTAACATCCCTTCTTTTGGGAAACCTTATTGTGTATCTAATAATCTCACCAATTTAGAATTGTCATAAAGTGGTCATGTTAACTGGGGCTGTGTGAGTTGTTATAGCCAGATGTAAACAAGTAGGAGACTTAATTCAGTTTTGATATTACCTATTCCTGTAATGACCAGTGTTTAGGAGTGATTTAATTATGTCTTTTCTTTATAAGTTAAATTCAGATATAATTAAAGCAATGCTTCCTGACATCAGTTACATACCTCCTCCACCCACAGGATGAACTTTTATCTATAAAACTTTCTCATAGCTAGGAATGTCCAGTTAGTAGCTGCATCAAACTTTCAAATGGATATCAGGCACCTGAAGGAGTTTTGGGAAACAGTAGTAGGCAACTGTATTGGCTTCATGTGGGGGAAGCCATGGCACTGTTCAAGGCTGGTGCACAGCTACAGAGAGTAGTTTCAGTTCTAGAAATAGGTGAATTCAGGTATCTGTAGGAAAGAAGCACGGAAGAGCGAACAGTTCACATTAGGAATGTAGGATGTAGGCATCAGGACCATGGACAGAGCACAGTAGGCTGTATGGAGCCTGGCAGACAGATGAGCATCTCTCAGAAAGAGTAGCTCAAAAATGTAATCTGTCAATACTGATAAGTGTCTTGGAACACTACTTGTCACTTCTGGGTGTGGTATGGTAATGATGGCAGGATGCTGGGTGCTGCAGAGATTCTGAAGAGCATTCCTTGCTATTCGAGGCAACTAGAAGGGAAACAATCCTAGGGACTGGTGATCGTTGTGGTGGGGATTTAAGATGATTCTGTTACTTCTTTAGTGGAGGAATCTGTTCCACTCTGTTTTCTCATTACAGTGGTACCTCGCATTACATACGCTTCAGGTTACACACTCCGCTAACCCAGAAATAGTGCTTCAGGTTAAGGACTTTGCTTCAGGATAAGAACAGAAATCGGGCTCCGGTGGCGCAGCGGCAGCAGGAGGCCCCATTAGCTAAAGTGGTGCTTCAGGTTAAGAACAGTTTCAGGTTAAGAACGGACCTCCAGAATGAATTAAGTACTTAACCCGAGGTACCACTGTACTGTTATCTGAGATATCCCAGGGACAAGAAATGTATGGGCCTTGGAATTATTATTTTTCTCCAATCTTTTGACATGGTACTGAAGCAGTTTCTGCTCCTGCAACTATCTTTTCACTGAGGGAGAAAGTCTTAACTCTCATTTCACATGAATTTTGGGCTCTTTAATAGATCTCCTTTGAAATTTAATAGACAAATCAGTCTAAATTATATGGGCTCATAGGTTCTGGAACCTATGTTCCAGGCTAGGGAAAGAGAACATGTGACCACCGAGACACCAACTGCCACGCTCACTGTAACTGAGGGAGCTGGTGTCCAACAGCATCCGGAAAGCAGCAAATTCCTCATCCTTATTCTAAACCATGATTTCTATCAATAGTAAGCCAATAAACTCTGCTTCATCTTGTGTGCTCTTGTGTGTTGGAGATATATTTCCATATTTGGGATTAAATTTAAGCTTTGCACAATATAAATTGCTTATGTAAATTACATTAGACTATAGATGCCGTATTAATAAGCCTTTCAATAACAGTATTCTGGAATTCATACCTTTGAAATATTTCATGAAAGTGCTCATTTTTAGGTAAGTGCTTAGGTTGGAAACGTTTTATTAATTCATGAACTATTACTTTAGGAGGCAGGTGTCACAATTAAACTTGCGCTAACAATTTGCTGAAACACAGTGGATAGAACATTTTAAAAATTGCTCTGATAGTTCAAGGGCAGCCAGAATAAAAAATGGGTTTGCATTTCAATTA